TTTTTATATTTGTAAAATTTTAGAATTGAAAAAAGATTAATACTATCAATTTCCGAATCGAAAGAGGTTTAATTAATGCCGAATATATAAAATTAAACACTGATACTACTAAGTTAGAAATTATGACAGTAAAAGTTAGAAACATTGATATGAAGAATAATGAATTTAAGATACAATCTGATCTTACTGCCATAAAGATTAATTAAAGGACATGGTGAAATATGGAAAATTTTTATAATAAGCTTCACTTCAATAAAAAGGATTTGGCAGAAATCTTTACTATTGGAATTCAAGTTATTGGTACATATTGTGCGTCAAATTAAAAACTACATCAGATTAAAATTATTATAATCCACTAATACCTAACATAGATACCCACCCTAATCTTAATAAAACTCTGCATTTAAATTTTGATTAGACGCAAATTTTAATCCGATGAACGACATATACACTGTAATATATTTAAATTTTATAGGATTTTATTTCATCTTTGTTTCAATAAAACCATAGGTTATCATTGATCTATTTATTCTCTATCATATGATTATGATTTAAAATTTTATTTCATTACGGAAATGGAAGCTGTAGATGTACAAGAGACTCCTTCAGTAATGGGTGACCTGTTACCAACGTTTATTAAGACCTTGCTTGGACTTCGAGTATGCTTTTATTACGATATAATTTATATTTCTATCAATTTTTAAATTTCGTGCCTTTATTAATGTAGCATACATTGTTTTCGTTTAATGATAAAATTTTACGAATTACAAGAGCATATAGAGAGCGTAAATCAACGCACTCTTTGCCTTCTACACCACATAAAAACTCCTAAAATTAAACGGGTGAAAAGGGATTTTTTTTCTATATTTGATGATGTACATTAATAGTTTGCTATAATGACATTAATTAGGCTTTTAAAATATCAATTTTTTGCTTACCTGAAATCGCATTGTTTAAAAAATCTTGTTAAGATGAATTATAGTAATTTGTAATACAGTAGTTTTCACTATGTTACAAATTTTTGACGAAATCTTCGAGTTTATATAATAACTTTATAATACTAATTGTTGCGGTTGAAGCTGGAAATTTTGTGTTTTATTATGAAATTTTCAAAATTTTTTGGGTGCATTTTTTTAGCTTTTTTCATGATTTAGGTTAGTTTTGATAATGAAAGAGTATAAGTGGATTTTGGCAGGGTTTATATTTTTAAATCAGGGTCCCTGATTTCCAGCTTCAGCCGT